TGCAAGGCAATAGAGAGATACAATGTATCTCTCCTCCATTCAGGGAGAAAATAAAACCAAGGGGGGCGGGCTTCACAGTGACTGATCACTGTGATAGCCAATCAGAGGCTATTACGGCAATCATGTGACCTGGAATCTGGGGTCCCGATCGTTAGAGCGGGAGCCGGGACTCTCAGTGTCACCCCGGTCTTTGTGCTGGGAGCACACTGTACAGCGCACTCCCAGCACAAAGATAGGTACACAAATATGCAGCCCCACGGAAAAAAGCCCAGTTCTATGGCCACATTCTTGTGTGACGTCGGCGGTAAGGGGTTAAGCAGCTTTTTCCTGCCAGGAGTTCTGGCCTTAAGAGGTGCTCAGATGCCCTGTGTACATGAGGCCTAGAAGTTTCCAAATGACTTGCACAGGACAAGTATGAATTACACAATTCAGAAACGCCAGTTAAAGCAGAACTATAGTCACCTTGAGCCCAGCGATGCAGCTCCTGGAGCTTCCAGGTATCAATCACCAGCAGCTTTCATTGGCTTGACAGAGATGATATCAGTCCTGTGCATGCATGAGAGTTCAGTCACCTCGGCATTGTCAAGTGTGCACATTGCGCAGCTTACTGTATAGTAGGGGAGCACAGGCAGGTAAGTAACTTTAATGCAGAAGAGACATAGCATGTTTCTTCTGCATTAATAATCCTGCCTATTCTCCCATTTTCTATGTTTCACTAAACTAAACCCATAACAGTAAAATCAGTCTGTATATGCAGTAAAGCATGCTTGTCATACTCACTGTAGAACCTAAGGGGTTAATCTTCCACATTAAAAAGGCTGTTTGATCCTCTCTTCTCTGATTCTCCCCTTCTTCTACTGTCCCCAATCCATCTGCAGATAGTACAGAGCTCTAGGAGACACTCTGCACATGCTCAGTGTCGTGTGTATTCCTAGAAAGCATTTTTCTTCTTTGGGAGATTATTATTATTATTATACAGGATTTATCTAGCACCAACAGTTTGCTCAGCGCTGTAAATTATAATGGGAGACAGTACACGAGACAGTACAGTAACAATACGATTCAATACACGAGGGGTTTGAGGGCCCTGCTCCTTGGAGCTTACAATCTAGGAGGGAGGGGATAGTGGTACAGGAAGAAATAGCTGTGGGGGATGGAGTGGTAGGAAGAGTGGAGGAATTCAGTAATTAGCTAAGGGTGGAGTAGGCTTCCCTAAAGAGAGAGGTTTTCAGAGTGCGCCTAAAGGTGAGGAGAGTAGGTGATAGTCTGATGGATTGGGGTAGGGAGTTCCAGAGGATGGGGGAAGCCCTGGAGAAGTCCTGGAGATGGGCATGGGAGGAGGAGACCAGGGAACTAGAGAGTAGGAAGTCTTGTGAGGAGTGGAGAGTACGTTTTGGGTGGTATTTGGATACCAGATCGGTGATGTAGTTTGGGGCAGTATTATGAACAGCTTTATAAGTCAATGTTAGCATTTTGAATTTTATCCATTGGGCAATCGGGAGCCAGTGGAGGGATTGGGAGAGAGGGGTGGCGGATACGGAGCAGTTACTAAGCTGGATGAGTCTGGCCGCAGCATTCAAGATAGACTGAAGCGGGGATAGCCTGCGATGAGGTAGGCCAATGAGGAGGGAGTTACAGTAGTCAAGGCCTGATATAATAAGGGAGTGAATGAGTTGCTTAGTTGTTTCCGAGGTTAGGAATTGACGTATTTTGGAGATGTTGCAGAGGTGAAGTCTACATGAGTTTGTCAGCAATTGGACCTGGGGCTGGAAGATTGGAGTCTAAAATGACACCTAGTACTCTGGCTTGAGGGGAGGGACTGATGGTGGTGTTGTTGGTCTTGATAGAGAAGTCAGGGGGGGGTGCGGGCTGGGGGGAAAACTAGGAGCTCAGTTTTGGAAAGATTTAGTTTGAGGAAGTGGAGTGACATCCAATCCGATATGTCGCTCAGTAGGTGTGTGATTTGGGCAGAGACTGAAGGGGTGAGGTGAGGGGTAGAGAGATAGATTTGCGTGTCGTCGGCATAGAGATGGTAGTTGAAGCCATGAGAGTGTATCAGTTGGCCAAGGGAGGAGGTGTAGATGGAGAAGAGAAGGGGCCCGAGGACAGAACCTTGAGGGACCCCAACAGAGAGGGGGAGTGAGGAGGAGGTGGCAGCGTTATAGGTAACACTGAAGGAGCGCTGTGATAGATAGGAAGAGAGCCAGGAGAGAGCGGTGTGAGGGACCGCCTAGCGGCACCACTAGCACTCCACTGGTCAGGCGTGCCCAGAGCGTGGAGTCTAAGTCCCAGGGTACTTGTTCACCAGAGCCCCTGATGGTGGGGATGGACTTGGAGTACCCCGAGACCAGGTCGCAACTACTGAGCACACCTGTCAGTGGTAGGGGTGTTTGCCAGGGGCTCCAACCAGGGAGAGCCAGATATGAGGAGGTTGGGTGACCCCGGTGGGATGGATGGATGGATGGCTGAGCAAGTGCGGAGTCAGACGGGCCGAGTTGGTAACGTAGAGGACGGTATGGTACAAGGGAGCGGACAGAGAATTGTCGGGTCACACGCCAGGTCAGCAACAGCAGGTCAGATCTAATGAGGGGCATTCAGAAGAGAGGTCAGGCAAAGCAAGGGTCTGGGCAGGAGAAATCAGCAGGTCAAGAGCAATCCGGGTCAAATAACTTACTAGGTACAGGTTCAGATTCACAGGATACAGGTAAGACCAGAAGGCACTGAATGACAGCTCAGGGCCATTTAAATATCCCGCCCTGCGCTGCCATTGGTGCCCAGCGGGCGGCCGCGGCTTCTACTGCGCATGCGCGAACTCGAAACGCCGCGGCCGGACCGGACCTTGTGCCCGTGTCCCTGCACAGTGCGGTGCACTGCGCCTGCGCCGGGACCATCGCGGCGGGGATCGAGGAGATCCCTGACAAGCGGAGTCTCGGAGGCCAAGAGAGGGTAGTTTTTTTGAGGAGGAGGGGGTGGTCAACCGTGTCGAAAGCCCCAGAGAGGTCGAGGAGTAGGAGCACTGAGTAGTGGCCATTAGCTTTGGCGGTGAGCAGGTCGTTGGTGAGTTTGAGTAAGGCAGCAGTTTCGGTGGAGTGTAGGGGGCAGAAGCCAGACTGTAGGGGATCAAGGAGGTTCTTGTCAGTGAGGTGGGAACTCAGGCAATTATAGACTAAGCGCTCTAGGAGTTTGGATGTAAATGGTAGCAGGGAGATGGGTCTAAGGTTGTTCAGGTCGGTGGGATCCAGGGAGGGTTTTTTAAGTATGGGAGTAATGTGCACGTATTTTAGAGAGGAGGGGAATGTGCCAGTAGACAGAGAAAGATTAAAGGTGTGTGAGGGAGCGTAGGATGGAGGAAGAGGGTGATCGTAGGAGTTGTGAGGGGACAGGGTCAAGGGGGCAGGTGGTGAGGCGGGCTTCAGAGAAGACCTTAGTGACCTCTTCAGTGGTAGCGAGGTTGAAGGAGTGGAGTGTTGAGGGGGTTTTATTGTGTGGGATGCTAGGTGGGGTGTAAGTCTGAGCAGTGGCGATGTCCCTACGAATTGCGTCGATCTTGTTTTTGAAGTGGTTAGCAATCTCGTAGGCGGTGAGTGAGGTACTGGGTGGAGGTGGGGGCAGAGAAAGGAGTGAGTTAAAAGTAGAGAAGGGCCGGCGAGGACTGGAGGAGAAGGTATTAATGAGGGTAATAAAGTAGGCTTGCTTGGCAGCGTGAAGGGAGGAAGTGTATGTTAGGAAGGCAGATTTATATCGGGTGAACGCTTGTTGGGATCTGGTTTTGCACCAGAGGTTGCGTGTAATCAGCAGGGCCAATCAATACTGTCCAGGCAGAGGGTCAGGGGTTATGCAGCCTCATAGGACAGTTAGAAGAGAATGAAAACTCCTCCTACAAGCATTAACCAGTGCTCAGCTGGACACTGATAGAAGTTACAAGAGTGTTATATACTGCCAATGAGAAAAGGTATTTAGCAGTTTATTTTCACTAAAATAATTGCACTTCCATGTTCTGTGTACTGTGGGAGACCAGATATACTGTAGTGCATACACGCAGATATCAAGGGCAGCACAGTGGCTAAATGGTTAGCACTTCTGCCTGCCAGTACTGGAGTCGTTGCTTCAAATCCCAACCGTGGCACCACCTGCCTGAAGTTTGCATGTTCTCCCTGTGCCTGTGTGGGTTTCCTCCCACACTCCGAAGACATTGTTAGGTTAATTGGCTGTAGTGTAAATTGGCCCTAGTATGTGTATGTATGAATGTAAGTTAGGGACCTTAGATTGTACGCCCCTTGAGGGTTAGGGACTGATGTGAATGTACAATATATATGTAAAGCACTGCGTACACTGACGGCTCTATATAAGTACCTATAATAAATAAATGCATGGTCCCGGGTAGGGGAGTCCCTAGGCAGGTGCGGGGGGTGCATGCCGCACCAGGTAACACCTACTGCACGGGGTGACAACGGACCCGCTCCACGAAAAGGTAAGATGTAAAGCAAGCTGACAATCCTCGCAGGATGGATCGGCTCTGCAGATTGAGCATAATGGATCAGAGTCCGATTCATTATGCTCAATCTCAGATCCAATCCATTCTGCGAGGATCATCGGAGGGGGTGTCACCAAGTGTTATCGCACCGGCGGCTGACACCAACCCTAGGGACACCCCTGGTCCTGGGTTTATAAATACTCTATAGTTTCAATTCCTCCCTATTGACTGCAAAAACATCAATGAAACTTTGTGATTCTTCTACTGCTTTCCACATATACCAAGCCTGCAAGAAAGCCCTCCGCCATTCCAGCACTTATTTGTATTGTTCAGCAATCACCACAGCCTCTGTCGGCAGATCAGCACACACTGAGCGGCCTAGAACCGGAGCATGTGCAGTACGACCCAGAGACGAGGACGCGCCTCTCCTTCTTGGTCCGGCTCTTTTTGTACTTGGCTGGACGTTCGCTGTCTCGGTGCTGCCACCTTCAGGAGAAGCCGAGGAAAGCAAGGTGGACATGTCAACATGGGTGCGGGTGACCTGGCGGATAACTTGATCTCTACGGTGTCCCAGCTGGCGGATTCCCATTTACATATAGTCCGGGTATGGATGGTGTCCTCACCTCGTGCATTCTACTTGTTGCAGCGCGCACACCATGTACACAAACACACCGAGCCTAGCTAGAGGTGTACAGCCTGGACTGTACCAAGCACCGTCATATAAGGCGTACAATAGACTCCTGTAGAGCGGTCACCTCGTGTCCACACCGCACCACGCATGTGCAGGAATATTCCACACTGCCCAGGGTATACCTCTGGATACAGACAGCTGGAAACTCATATTAAAGTGCAAGGAAACCCAAATCTTGTATCTTTAGCTACATGTAGGGTTGTCACCTCATCCCTGCAAAACTGGACACATATTAATTACACAGGTTCTGTGGCGGATTAAGGTGGTAATTAAACTCACGGAGTACTTATGTGTAATACATTAGCCTCAGAACCTGTGTATTTATTATGTATTCACTTTTAAAGGGATGAGGTGGCAAGCCTAGCTACAGGTAAGCCTTTAACCCCTGACGACCGGGCTACAGCCAAATGACGGCTACAACACGGTCATCTAGTTCTGGGAGGGCATCATGTGAGGTCCCCTAGAACCACGCCTCCCGCGTGCAACCTGGAACGTGCACACGGCGAGCTCTATGATCACTGTGTCCTTTGGACACAGCTGATCACGTGACATGGTAAAGGTCTAATCATAGCCCCCCTTTTACAATGTGATCAGCTGTGTCTAATAACACAATGATCACAATGTAAATACAACTGCCGGTTATCGGATGCACTTTCCTAATCTGCAATTGTATATGCACAACAAGACATAAGTGCAGCCCCAACAATGTCCATCAGTGCTGCCAGTCAGTGTCCATCAGTGCTGCCAGTCATTGTCTATCAGTGCAGTCTCAACAGTGTCCATCAGTGCTGTTAGTCGTTGTACATAAGTGCAGTCGCAACAGTGTCCATCAGTGCTGCCAGTCATTGTCCATCAGTGCAGTCTCAACAGTGTCCATAAGTGCTGTTAGTCATTGTCCATCTGTGCAGTCCCAACAGTGTCCATCAGTGCTGCTAGTCATTGTCCATCTGTGCAGTCCCAACAGTGTCCATCAGTGCTGCCAGTCATTGTCCATCAGTGCAGTCTCAACAGTGTCCATCAGTGCTGCCGGTCAGTGCTGTCTATCAATGACTTTCAGTGCAGCCTCATCATTGCCTCCTTGTCTGTGCCCATCAGTGCTGCATATCCGTGCCCATCAATTCATCCTCATCAGCGCACATCAGTGAAAGAAAAATTGCCTGTTTGCAAATTTTTATAATGGAAACTAAGAAAAAAAAATATTTTTTTTTTGTGCAGGGGTTTATCCACTATGTAGGCCTCTACCGCTCTTGGTTTACATAGTGTGCATCCTCCTAGAGGTGACAGCTATACTCATAAAAAACAAACTGTGAATTAATCAGTACAAAACGTTTTCTAGTTTAGGAGTTGGAAATTATTCTGGGTTGGGAGATATCCAAGACCTATAAGAAGACAGGGATACCTTGGCTCAATAGACTACACTTTTAATTGGCCATTTAAGTATAACTGTCTTTATTATTACAATGTAGATGGAGACCCAAATCATATCTAAAAGTCCCTAGAGACTCACAAGTGCTTTCTCACACATATAGTTGCTGACTTGATTTATAAAACAAGATTTATTTTATTGTCTATTTCAATGTATGTGCTTAAAAGAGCCTTTAAATGGACCAAGTATCCAACTTTAAGCATGTACCTGTATGTTTTCTTTTAACAGAATATTAGTACGGGTTTGGCAGTTGCTGGAGTCATTTTGTGTGCAAGGAGCATAAGACTGGTAAGTATGACCACTGGATACAGCCCTGTATGTTTATATATAGGTGTAAATCTTACAGTCTCACTAACAGATATAGTTTACTAGACATCAGCTTGTTTTCTACTGATTCACATACTGCCTTCCTCTCAGTTTCAAAAAACGTTATTCAGACAAGTTAGAAAGTTTGTGTGTGTAGTAACAGTGAGTTCTACTAATTGTAAGCATTCATGATAGAAGAGATGCTCAGACTGGTTACTCTAGACAAAATGTGAGCCGTGGATGACACTCTCAGCACCACTTGGCTTGCCAAACTTCGACTGAAAAATCAACAAAGTAAAAGATTATTGGGTGAATAGCAGGGCTTTTTTTCTCAGAGGAAAGGTGGTGGAACTCCCCCACCCAAACCTGGCCACGCCCCCATCAAACCCTAGGACCACCCCTTTAGAGAACAGGAATGCAAGTAAAATTTGGGAGGGGCTTCCGATGACATCATTTCCCGTACATACCATATAAGGGAAATGATGTCATCGGACCCCCGGCTGCCTCTTGCATGATCTGCATGAAACACATGCATAGATATAAAATGACTAATGTACTGACACCAGAAACACATGCATAGATATAAAATGACTAATGTACTGACACCAGAAACACATGCATAGATATAAAATGAATACCGTACTGACACCAGAAACACACGCATAGATATAAAATCAGTACCGTACTGACACCAGAAACACATGCATAGATATAAAATGACTAATGTACTGACACCAGAAACACATGCATAGATATAAAATCAGTACCGTACTGACACCAGAAACACACGCATAGATATAAAATCAGTACCGTACTGACACCAGAAACACATGCATAGATATAAAATCAGTACCGTACTGACACCAGAAACACACGCATAGATATAAAATCAGTACCGTACTGACACCAGGAACACATGCATAGATATAAAATCATGGCAGGCCGTTTGTAAACGTCCAGCATAGATATAAAATCAGTCTAGCATGCATGTGTACCCTGTCTGGTAGATGTGCCTGCTCCTACAGGCTCCCCTAGGGTTGCCACCTTTTCCTCCAAAAAATACCGTCCATCACTGAATTTATCTTTCCTGTTCCTCATGCACAGGAGGGGCGCTCTCGATCGGCGCCGCTGAGCGCTGAGCAATTGCGTTCTGAAATAGTTTAGGTGGGCTCAGGTGGGTGAGGATAGTTTAGGTGGGCTCAGATAGTTTAGGTGGGCACAGGTGGTTGGGATAGTTTAGGTGGGCACAGGCTGGGGAGAGAGTAAAAATTTAGAGCAATACATGATACTGCAGTCAGTGACAGGGAGCCGAGCGCAGCTTACCTACTCCAAGCTGTACGGCCCCTGCGTCCACGCTGTCACTGCCGTTGATGTCGCCGCGCCGCCCCCGATGTTTACACGCCGGCGGGGGGGGGCGGTGAAGCGTGCATAGTGTCCTCGCCCATCGTCCGCGCCCCCGATGTTTACACGCTGGCGGTAGAGGGGGGGGGGTGAAGCGTGCATGTCCCCGCTCACCGGCTGTGAGCAGCGGCAGTGACAGGTGCCGGGCACGCGCAAGCATGACATAAACAAGCCGCGTCCGGCACCTGTCACTTTCGCTGCTCTGCATAGCTTGTCAGCTCTGCAGAGGCAGTCGGTGAGCGGGGACAAGAAGAAAAAGGTGGCGGAACGCAGTACCGCCGCGTTCCGGCAGAAAGAAAGCCCTGGTGAATAGTAACTCCATCCAATCAGATGCAGTGACTGTTGGGTTGTGAAGCAGCTGCAGATACTGCGGCTGCTTGAATACAATACTGGTGGTGGAGATTCCTCCATTTATCTAGTTCTTCTTTCATCATCTGTTTATCTCCCCTCGCTTTTCAGGACAGCAACCGGATGAGAGCGCAGCTTCACCCATAATCACAGGGAAAACTGCAATTAAAAGTCCGCCTCTTCCACCATTCCCTCAGTTATGGTGTGTCCTCTGCCATGGTGTAAGTGCTGCATGAACCGGGATGGCTGCGCTTTCTCCAGTGTGTGTGTGGGGGTGGCAGTCCTTACCTCGCAGAAGGTGTGTATGTGGACTAGCCCAGCTCCTTCCTCCATTAGTTTAGGGGGGTTCCGACGTCTTCTGTCCCCTTCCGGCTCAGTGGAGCGATGGCCAGCCAGGGAGTCCCTTTCGTGTCTGTGGGCTTGGAGGAGAGCGGGTCTCCCGGGGTCCAGACTATTGGAAGCCATCAGGTGGCTTCCTGTGGTGTCATGCAGGCCCAGCCGGCAGGGGGACGCCAAGCTGGCGGGACGTCCGGCGGAGACGTGGCGGCATTGGTTCCGGCCACTGGAATGCAAGGGGAGGAGGCAAGTCAGCGGGTGGTTCTGGGTCACCAATGTTCTGGAGGGCAGCGGGAACTTCAAAAGGACCACAGGTCTCAGCAAATCTGTGCACTCTGTAGGATGGAGAAGACAGAGGGTCCAGCGGCAGAAGCAGGCACAACGTGCACCAGCCTAGTCCAGGTAAGGGGGGTACAGTGGTGTCTTTTATCCTTATGGTGGGGCTTTTTGTTTCTCTTTATGGTTTGCCTTCTCTGTTAGGGAAGCCTGCTGCTTTGGCACAGAGGTGACTCTACTCTGCTCCAGGGCACAGGGGGATGACTTGGGGGTTTTGTGGGCTAAGTCTCCCCTCTCTCTTGCCCTTACGATACAGCTGTCCATGCGGTAAGGAGGGAGGAAAGGTCAGGGTGTGGCTGGATGGGAGCCTGATGTGGTGTTTTTCTTTGTCCTGTTCCCTTCCTATATTTCAGGCCAAGGCCACTGTCAAGGTGAAGAAGGTCACGCCGATTAAAAGAAAGTGTCCATCTTGTAGGAATCCCCTGAGAGATTTGTGGCCAAAACCGTTATGTAGAGCCTCTGCGGCGGATTTAGTGAAAGAGGAATCTTCGCAGCAATGCAGGGACATGTTTGCTTCTTTCAAAAAGGAATTGTCGGAAACGCTGGGTCAGTTCGATTTTTGTTAGGTTCGTGGGTTCTACTTCGCACATCTTTTTAGTTCAAAAGCCCTCGGGGAGGTTCTGTTTAATTTTGAATCTGAAAATACTGAACAAACCCATTTGGCACAAGAGCTTTCACATGGATAAACTATTTTCAGTGAGGAAGCTGCTATCCTCAGGATGCTTTATGACGACCATCGATCTGCAGGATGCTTACCTGCATGTTCCGATTTATGAGCGCTGTCATCTCAGAAGTTCCCCCAACTGGCAGTCAATCTGGGAATGTCCATCTGGCACCTACAGTTCAAGGCACTACCATTTGGCCTGTCATCTTTTCCAAGGGTGTGTACCAAAGTCATGGCAAAAGCACTAGAGCCTCTGAGGTTTAGGGCAGGGTGGATTTGATTTAAATCACTAGTCAGTAAGGCTTGATTTAAATCTTAGTTTTCTACATAAAGACTAATTCTTGCTGGTATAACTTTAATATGCAAGTAGATGAAGATTTTTAGAATAACAACTTTTCATATTAGTTTTTTTATCCCCAGTTTAATAGGTTAATCATTCATATTTGGACAACTTTTCTGTTGTACTTAGGAGAAAAATAATCATTACCTTAATAATAACAATTTAAATAGATTTATTCATCTGAAACAATAACATTACAGCATCTGTTATTTGCTTAAACAAACATCCATGTTTGTTAACTAATTTGGCTAAACAAAATATATATATTTTAAGAAATTTAGACTGTCAGCCCCTTCCTCCTCACACTTAGTTTCACTTTCTTCTTGTGCAGATCTATTCCACTCCAAACAATCAGAAAAATATTGTTTCTATTCTATTCGCTGAACTTCTTGAAACTTAGCACTGAAGGGGTTGATTCTGTATTCATAGGTTTGTAGAAGTTAGGATTAAGGTCTTTTTCTTGACTCTGTTCATGTTATAACATTTTTGCTGTGAAGAAGAGGCATGTGATTTCCGCTGAGTCAAATTCAGTTTTGAGAACTGCAAAAGTAAACCAAGCATCTGTGATAATATCTTGTAGGCAGAGAAACTGCCCAATAATCTTACAAAAAACCTCTGGAAGAGCATGACATTGTGAATGGATTAATGGAATTTATTTATGAAAAAATTAAACATATGCAGCCTTATTCTACATAATTAAATAACTAATCTTTATTTGATGATGGAATAACCTTTGGATGGTAATATATTTTTTTAAAAGCATTTTATTTAAAAAAATCCGATTTAAATAAAAAAAATCGGATTTTTTTGATTTTTTAAAAAAAATCATTGATTTTTATCCACCCTGGTTTAGGGGGATTTCGGTGGTGCCGTATTTGGATGACCTACTCGTGTTTGTGGAAACCTAGGCGCAGGTGCTGTTAAATCTTCAGGCAACTCAGGCTCATCTAAGAGGCTGGGGATGGCTGTTGAATCTGGAGAAGTCCGACTTGATCCCAGCCCAGAGTTAAGGTTCTTGGGACATACCATAGATTCTGTACAACAGAGGATATTCCTTCCGGAGAATAATATAGAAAAGATTCAGTCGGCCCTGAGTCAGATTCAGTGCAACCTGTTGGTGTCGGTCCGAGAGGCCATCTTGGCTCTGGAACTGATTCATTTCATTCCTGCCCTCTCCAGGGGGACATCCTGCAAAAGTGGACATACCAATATCCGCTGGACAGGCCTATAAAGACCGCTTCAAAGGTGAAGAGGGAACTTTTTGGTGGTGGCGAGATCTGACCTACTTAGGGAGGGGTCTGCCATGGTCCTTTCCGAAAAGGCTGAACACCTAATGACAGATGCAAGTGCATGGGGTTGGGGAGCCCACTTAGGAGACCGGATGGCACAGGGCTCATGGTCCAAAGCAGAGGCCAGAAAGTCCTCAAACTTCTGAAAGGAAAGAAGACCAAGTTGGATGGCTTTCAACTTTCTCCAGTCAGTGAAGGGACAACACATTCAGGTCCTCTCGGACAATACAACAGCTGTGGCTTACATTTCAAGGCGGGGGGGCACAAGAAGCAGGGGACTGCGGGAGTTGGCACTATAGATCCTGTCTTGGGCGTAAAAGAAATTGGCCTCCCAGAATCGGCTGGCGGATTTTTTGAGCAGAAGAAAGGTAGTAGAGTCCGACTGGGGATTGAATCAAGAAGTGTTCCAGCTGGTCATGGAATCTTGGGGTGTCCCTCAGGTCGACCTATTTGCAAGCCACCTAAATACAAAGTCACCAGTGTTCTTTCCCCTTCATAGGGAGGACCAGGAAGTGGGCCTGGACGCTCATCCTTGGAATGACCCTTTGTCCTACGTGTTCTTGACACTTCTGAACCTATCCTCTTCCCTGGAAACTGCCAATCAGGAAAGATTTGCTAGTTCAGAGGTTGGTTCTGCATCCAGAATTTGAGCAATTCAACCTAACAGCCTGGTTCTTGAGGATGAATTGTAAGGGGAAAGGGGTTATCAGATAAGCTTATTGCCACCTTATTCTCAAGCAGGAAAGAAGTAACTAGAGCGATTATATTTGAAAGCATGAAAGAGGTATAATACCTGGTGTTCAGAGCAGGGTTTCCAGGTGAACAGAGTCGTGTCCACCCTGGAATTTCTCCATGATGGAATGTAGAAGGGGCTAGCGGTAAGTTCCCTTAAATCTCAAGTAGCAGATTTATCTGCATTCCTGGAGAGAAGGTTATCCAAAGAGGAGCTAATTATTAGATTTTTTTGAAGCTTTGGCCAGGACCAGGCCAGTTTCAGTTAAAGGTTTTCCCAAATGGGATTTGTCTTTAGTTTTACAGGGCCTCACAAAGAAACCGTTTGAGCCCCTAAAGGAAGCTTTGGTTCGAAATTTAGTTCTAAAAACCATTTTCCTAATTGCCATTACGTCAGCTTGTACAATAAGTGAGATCCAGGCGCTGTCAATTTCTGAACCTTTTTTAGTTATTTTTCCAGACCTAGTTTTCTTCCGATGATCCTTTCATCGTACGCAGGAAATAGTATTACCTACCTTCTGTACAGCTCCAGCTAATCTGGGGGAGGAGGTGTTCCACATGCTGGACGTGGGAAGATGTCTTTTGAGATTTTTGGAAGTGTTGAAGGAGTTTAGAAAGTCAAACTCCTTGTTCATACTCTTTATGGGTTATCGCAAAGGGGAAAGAGCCTCCAAGAGTACTCTAGGCAGATGACTCAGACAGGCCATCAAAGAAACCTATGGGGCATTAGGCAAAGTTCCCCCAGAGGGAGTTGCAGTACACTCTACAAGATCGGTGGCTGCCTCTTGAGCTGGAAGGGCTGGTGCATCTCAGGAACAGATTTGCAAAGCAGCTACGAGATCCAGCTTTTCCACATTTATACGCCATTATAGAGTGGACTTGTTGGCTGTGGCAGACCAGTATTTCAGCAGGAAGGTCCTGCAAGCAGTGGTCCCACCCTAGGAGTAAGTTACTTGGTTATCTTCTCCAGGTGTTGTCCTGAAAGGCGAGGGGAGAAAACCTTAGTTAGACTTACCGGTGATGGTATTTCTAGGAGCCTCTCAGGACAGCAGCATCTAACCACCCCCCCTTTATCTTTGTAACTTTTATGTCTGTAATTCTGTGGTTGGCATGGTGTGTTTGTTTCTGTTTTCCAGCATGTCAGAGGTTACTCAGCTATAACTGAGGGCATGGTGTTTAAAGCGGACTTTTAATTGCAGTGTTTTCTGTGATTATGGGTGGAGCTGCACTCTCTCCACATGCTGTCCTGAAAGCCTCCTAGAAATACTGTCACCGGTAAGTCTAACTAAGGTTTTTTTTACTTGAACATGCATATCAAAGAGCAAAGATATTCACTGGACAAATGTCTCAAACATTCTTCGAGCTGTAATGAATTTTGGCCATATTTTGTCTAATATGAATATTGTCTATGTTTGCCAGCTCTATCTAGTGGCCATAATGTGTTATTTTCCTCAGTCAGGATGGCCACTAGGTGAAACAGATGGGTGATACAGTAGATGGGTGTAACATTTATCCAGATAATTTTTTATAAATAGATCCCTAAGTCTAGTATAGTCACCTCCCTCAACCCCATACATGTGTACGGCCGGATATGTCATATATAGATGTTTGGCACTTGAGAAAAAATTCTAGCTCAATGCTGGACAATCATAGCAAATTCGTGCAAATGGATTTATATTATACTTGATTTTCCAGAAGATTTTGTGAAAATGAGTTGCCATCTTCACAGTAAACAAGGCCAAAAATTAGAGGGAAGATTACAACCAAAGCACCTTTATCTGGATAGTAAATAACCAATATGTTTAACATTTTATGGCATTGTATTATAATTTGTTTTCTCGTCCTTACATTTTCTCACAACCAAAACTAAGTACCCACTTCTTTCCTGTCATTACCAATACTAACAGGTAACCAAGTTTACAAACGTGAAAGCCATCCCAGACAATTTCATAAAGAAAAATGTGAAGCTACGTGGTAAAGTCATTAGTGTGAAGGAACATGCAATAGAAATTGAACACATTCCTATTAAGGTTCCCATTTTGACATCACTCCTCCAAAAATGTAAGTACATCCTATTTGATATTATTTGAGACCTCTTCTAATTACATGCGTTGGGAGTTTGGAGTGTTGTCTATATATTATTTATACATTAGTCAGTACTAACACATAAACCTAACATTATATCTGAATGACTCAGAAGAGAGACAGACCTCTATACCTCCATGTAGTGACAGGACTGTCTAATTAGTCTGTTTACACAACCCACCAAGTATGAAGGCAGTTTTGGGCTTTTTTTTTCTCTTGAAAGCCAACATTTTTTTCAAACTGATTATTATGGGTGCACCCTGTAATAAATGTGTATATTTAACAAAAATCAATGAAATAATTAAAAATATTTGGAACATATTTTATTATAATACGACATACCCAGTATCACTTCTGGAGTACCTGAGGACCCCTAGGAACTGAGGAAGGGGAGCACCCCAACCACCCTAAGAAGCCAATCGAATATCTCTGCTGTCTCTCTCACCTATATATTAAAGTATAATTAAAGGCAAACATTTTTTTTTAGCTTTGGATAGAGTGGAGAGGGTTTTCATCACCTGTTAGTTTTTATTGCTGTCAGTGTCCCTGGTAGAGAGTTTCACCCTCTCTATTTGTCCTGTTTACCATTATCATCAAAAGTGAAAGTAAAAGCAAATCCTAAACTTTGAGTTGATATCAGAACAGTAGTAGAAGGGAAATCTTCCAACGGGACACTAGTTCTGGTGACCTTGGGATCCCCAAGAAACTCCTTTAATTTGCAGGGAATAGCTCTTACTTCCGGTTTTGGCTACAGGACAAGAAATGTAGGGAATTCTACCCAATGGGACATGGAAGGCAGTAGAAAAAAAATGTCAAGGGACTGCCCTCCCTTACTCTATCCAACATAGAGAAAAAAGTTTTGCCTTTAGTTCTACTTTAATGTTTTTTAAAATCTCGTTCTAAAGTTAGTAATTACAAATGTACTTGAGGGCAGTCATATTTGCCCTTTACAAACGCTGACTTTGCTCCTCCACTACTATACAATGGTTGAGCTTCAGGCCACCTCAAAGTGGACTTGAGTGGTCAGCAGTCTTTGATCCTTCAGTTGGAGCCAGCTGGGGACAGCTGCAGCTCAGATCAATGCTGCAGCCATCTAGGTGAGTATGTATGTTTATTTTTTTTGATGCCTGCATTTCTCTTTTAAGGGTCCACTACTGCAAAAATGTTGGAAATGAAATGAAACTATAACAAAACATTTGTGGCAGCAGTTTCCTTAAGAACTAACTATCCCTAATTCAGGCTAGCAAATGTGCTAGTGTCAGTAACAGTACATGTAGTTCTTATTACCTCCACTTTAAGAACCTGTTGCTGTGCAGGTGACAGATTCTTAAAGCATTACTGCGAGTTCTCAGATTAGGAAAATGGGAGCAATTAAGACCAAGCTAGCAAACAAAAGTGCACCATGACTTACAGAGGTGCATGTCTGAGCTGGGAAGCTGTCATGTATGTAACAGCCTCCCACACAATTCAGCCCCATTCAGCTGTCGACAATGAGATTCTCCAACACCAGGGCTGGGGATACTTTTGATGTCAGTACCCAAATATGGCAATGCCTGTCTTTGAGAAATGACTTGTCACTGGATGGGCATAGCTTGAATGGGAACTGTGAGACTAATTCCCATCAAGTCTTGCTGTCTTTTTAGTGATAACACAAGGCAGTGGGTGAAATTTTTAAGCCTCTAGGACTGAAGAGCAGCTATTGAACTGTGTATTGCCGTGCACTGTTCATCAGATCTAAAGTGGACCTCATGGGGAGCTAGTCTCTCAGTTCCCTATCAGGCACTGCCTTCCCCTAGTACAAAACTCTTCAGCTTTGCACTTATCATGGTGACGGAGGGGGGGAGTGCACAAAGGAGTGTCCAGTGTGGACACACCAACCTCAGTGCAGGAACTGACAGATGCATGTACCTGTCTCTGAAAGGTACAATGAATTGGGTGCAAGCACCAACAATTTCAGATGTCTACGACACCCTATATGAATTCCCAAGATTATATTTTGGTAACTGCATCATACTTGTAATGATAGTATTTCCCTATATAAATTTGTTTGCTTTTTTTCGTTTTTTAATATATATATATTTTTCTACACATTTATATACAGACCAAGTTGTTCGGCAAAAGTGACAGTTACAGGAGTTGGGTCAAACACATGGGTGTGTACAACGGTCAGCATTAATTCATATGGCTTTTCTAACAGGAAAAAAATATTTTTACCAGTTTCAAATATGTTGGCTAGAATTGGCCTTTAAAGCAGAACTTTACCCATAACAACTTGATAAAAAATAATGTTCTTTAGCAAGGAGCATACGATACACATTAATGCTTATGCTTTCAAATGCAGTGTGTGCCGTAAATTGCCTCCAGCATTACTCCTGTTTCTTCTTGCTGGAAGATGCCATTTTGCTGAAGCTCAGAGCCCATGAACAGAAGTAATCTTAAAGCAGAACTAAACCCATTGATTTTACGGTCTCAAAAATCAGTTACAGTCCTGGAATTCCAGGATTGCTAACTGTCACATTTGCTGGTATCTTCAACCAAACTGTCAAACTATCAATTGGCTGGTGTCATAACTGATCACGTGTAGCACCATGGCAGTTGCAGATCAAACTGAAGCAGCTTCCTTGGCTGTAAAGGATAGGTGGGTTTAATTCCACTGATCAGCCTCTACAGATTCAGCAGTGCCTAAAAATGCCTAAAAACGAAGAGCAACTGAGCATGTGCAGAGCAGAATGAAACAGTGTATTACTGGGTTTTACGCAGCTGTAGCTGTACCTGCAAAAGGGGCCAGGCTGAGGTGATCTAGCAGGACTCCATAACTGACTAAAGTGCCACTAAATCTCATAACTAAACATGGCCAGAAAGTGGAATAGAATGGGCATATGTCCAAGCTTTTCAGATTCTCTAAAGTCCTAACTAATGTATGTCTGTTTTAAAACATGATACTTTGTCATTGTTGTAGCCAAAACATCTAAAATTTAAATCATACCCTGGTGTGCTAACTTGATTGTAATTAGCAGATGGTTTGACAGATGCAGTATGATAATGTCACAAACTCTGTGCCTTCAGCATATTAAACTGGTGCTCAGAAGGCCTCCTGCAGTGCCATCTCTTCTAAAAAATAATTGGATGCTTACAAGTGTGATTAACCATTCTAAGTGCTCAGCCTCAAAGTCTAGATATTTTATGGCTGAACTTGGAAATTACTCACCTCAGTGTTCATTTTGGATTGCTAGAGAGATCCGCATAATTGCTGTAAAAAAAGTACTGGATTCTTTTTTTATTGCCTTAAAATTACAGTGTTTTCTAGGCATAAGTAATGTCATAACTTGAAATTTGTATAACTAGCTAAGTAATAAAATCCGACTAATGAGAGCTGAAGCCTTTTAATTGGTCACCACAGTTGTTCAGGATGTGATTTCCACCTTCTGTGCCCCGGGACACTTTTATAGTTTGCAAACTTGGGACAAACATCTTTTGGATGCACAGTTTTCACCACTCATGTGATTTACATGAAGTCTATTTTACATGTGATAAAACTGAATTTCCTAGTGATTTTCTTGTCATTTGTAACAAAGAAATGTGACAAGCAAAAGACAACCCCCACTATTTGAATTTTTTTCAGGTATATTTTTATGTGGCTGATGTTGTGGTCTAAAGTACTGGTTCTTAAAGCAGTTATAAATGCAGAAGGTTTTTACCTTAACCTCACTAGCCGTCTGATTATGTCAGTATTTCTGTGCTCAAAGCGGTGCATTTTTTTGAATGGAAATATGTATTTTTTTTATTGTAGGCCTGTAATTTTTTAAGAATAACTCACTGAAATCTGTCTGAACAAGAGTCTAGTAAACATCCCGGGTGTGTTAAAATTTGAAACACGAAATCATAAATTATAATATAATTGATAATCATAAAAAATAATAATATAATAATAATACATTTAATTCAATAATATAATCAAACCAAAAACACTGAAATTTGAAATATAGCGCCAAGTTCGCACATCACTGAACAAAGTCACAAAATCGTTTTCAGTGTCTGATGACGAATTTCCCCACAAATCATTATCACTCAATTCTGCAAGTAGTTCTAATTTACTATCGCTGTTCTCTAGCTGGTCTAAAACCTATTTTACCTAAAGGGACGCTTTTTGGACACCATGGACATTTCTCAGTTTCCAGGCAGAAAGAACAGTAAAAATGCAGGCAGGGCACAGGACAAAGCACTCGGGACAAAATGTATGTGAAATGGTTTGATACAGTAATGTTTTATGTGATTTTAGTGTATTTAGTGAATGTCACTTTTTCACATTTTTAAATTTCCCGCGTTCCGTCCCCGTACGTCCTGACGTCGCAGGGAACGGAACCCGGAAGACGAATGCCGGCATTGGCCGGAGGACATTGCCAGGGACGCTGCAGAGGGGACATCGCGGGAGCGCAGGATAAGGTAAGTGAAGAAGATAGCCTGGAGCAAGGCTGCAAGGTATTCCCGAGTGTAGCTCGGGGTTACCGCTTGTGGTGCTGAAACTTTACCCCGAGCAGGGGCGGACTGACCATTTGGAAACTCGGGCACTGCCCGAGGGATCGGGGTCAGTAGGGGGCCCCATGAGATGCCCCTGGTACCTTTTTCATAGGCTTTTTTGAGTTTGGGCAAGGACACAGGTGCCCCATGATCCCCTATTGCCCGGGGGCCCCATGAGTTGTCAGTTCGCCCCTGCCCCCGAGCTACACTCAGGAATACCTCCAGGGAGGTTAATGCATAATGCTCATCTTCACCCCAGCTCCCCTTTACACTTATATGAGCCTGATCTCGATCCAGTGCTGTGCACGAGGGCAGCAGCTCTCTCAGATCTCTCCCTCCTCAGTAGCTCAGACTCAGCAGCAAGAGCCATTGACATCCACTGATATCAATCATAGCTAGTGAGAAGAGGGCAGGGGCGGAGTCAAGCCGCACTTTGTGTGTCAATGGACACACAGAGCTGGCTCCGGAGTGAGCCTGCACGAGTACCCCCATAGAATGCAACTTGCTATGGGGGCACTCAGCAGTGAGGAGGGATCAGGAGTGGGGGACCCGAGAAGAGGAAGATTGGGGCAAAACCATTGCACAGAGCAGGTAAGTATGTGATCTTAATTATTTAAACAAAAATTAAGGTTTACAATCACTTTAAAACATCAGCTTAAAAAAAAATTAACATTACAAAAAAGATCAAAATCCATTATAGTTTCCCTTTTAAAATATGTAGGCAGTTCATCCAGTGAAACGTTAATGCTATTTTAACCTGTTACTTTCTTGCATGTCTAACTTTTCCTGTTACGTACTCTTATTGAATTCTGCAGGGCAGGGTCATGGCAGCCTACTGGTCAGACTTGCTGGAGTGGAATTAACTCCAAGTGGCAAGCATTGGTTGTTGACTAATCTCCAGCCTTCACAGCAGCTGTGGTTTCAGCTTCTGAATCGAGAAGACTCCATGCTTGATTGTTTCATCTTTATCAACAGGGTAAGAAACTGCTTGTCTCATCACAAGGGATTTTTTTTTACATTTTGGTATCAATAATCTAATCTTCCACCAAAGAAAAAAGAAAAACGTCATGATTGTATTGATAGGATAAAAAAAGATTTTCACGGCTTGGTCAACTTGGATTCATAAAAGATAGCTGTTTTCATAGTACTGTATTTTGAGCATTAGTTCTATGCTTTAAATAAACCACTCCTAATATATATAGAAAAAAACATTTACGCTTGGTTCACATTAGTGCAATGCGTTTTTAGGCAGTTTGAGGTGCAATTATGTAGCGTGACTTGTGAACGATTTTGACACGATTTTAGTCCTGTGCAATTTTGATGCCATTTCATCCCTAGTAGTTAAAGTTTTTCTGCTGCTGCTTTACCTGGAGGGAGAGTTGAGGGTTAAGAAACCTGAAACATGTACATGCTATTTCTGTGTGATTCCATTAAACTCTCCATTAAAATTGAGCTGGAATCGCCGCAAAGTATCACAGGAATCTTTTCCAAAATTGTGCCGTGCTGAGTTGCATTGATGTGAACAGGCACCATTGAAAAAAATGTGATTCCCAATGTCATGCTATTCTGTGCAACTCAAGCCGCATCAGAGATGGCACAAATAACAATCATGTCTATACTTACCTACTGTGTGCAATGGTTTTGCACAGAACAGCCCGGATCCTCCTCTTCTCGGGTCCTCTGCAGGCTCTCCTGGCCCCTCCCTCCTGTATGGTGCCCCCACAGCAAGCAGCTTGCTATGGGGGCACCCACTGCTCCATGTGTCCATTCACACACAGAACTGTGTCTCGGCCCCGCCCCCTCTCCTCATTGGCTCTCTGGCTGTGATTGACAGCAGTGGGAGCCAATGGCTCCTGCTTCTCTCTCTGCCAATGAGAAGATGAAGACCCGGGATAGCTGAAACTCCAGTGCACATAGCTGGATTGAGAAGGGGCTTAGGTAAGTATTGGGGGGGGTGTCTGGGGTAAATGCTGCACACAGAAGGTTTTTTGCCTTCATGCATAGAATGCATAAAGGTAAAAAGCCTTCAGCCTTTACAACCACTTTAAAGAGACTTTGATAAATAGCCTCCGAAAGATATATGATAAATAAACTCACTGTCCACTCTTATTAGGTAAACCTTGCTAGTACCAAGAAAATATCCCCCACATCATAACACCACCACCACTACAGCCTGAACTGTTGATACAAGGCAAAATGGATCCATGCTTTCATGTTGTTTATACTAAATTCTGACCCTAACATCTGAATGTTGCAGCAACCAGTCTGCCCATTTTCCTCTGACCTCTGACATCAACAAGGCATTTTTGTCCACACAACTGCCACTCACTGGATATTTTCTCTTTTTCAGAACATTCTCTGTAAACCCTATAGATGGTTGTGCATGAAAAATCCCAATATATCAGCAGTTTTTTAAATACTCAGGCCAGTCCATCTTGCACCAACAACAATGCTATGTTCACTTAAATCCGCTTTCTTCCCCATTCTGATGCTCAGTTTGAACTTCAGCAAATCGTCTTCACCACGTCTAGATGCCTAAATGCATTGAGTTTCTGTCATGTGATTGGCTGATTAACAATTCATGCTACCAAGCAATTAAACAAGTGTACCTAATAAAGTGGCTGATGAGTGTAAACATAGGCACCACAACTGGCATATATCCCTTGCATTATGCTCTCACTCCCTTACGCATGCCTCAGCTAAGCAAGGCTAAATGTTTTGTGTGCATGAGGCCCACAGTGTAACTAAAGGTGCTTTCACACTGCTTTCTGTGTCCCCATTAGGGAGATTCACTCTATTTGTCCTGTTTACCTCTATCATCAATAATGAACGTAAAAGAAAATTCCAAATATTGAGTTGACATTAGACCACTAAGGTCCCTTTCAAACAGGTGTTCCGATCAGGTTCGCTTGTCAGTTCAGACATACCTGATCAAAAGGTGTCTTTATCCCTGTGGACAGGCGGGTGTAAATGAAGAGGACTCCATCATTTTCCGTTAAGGTGGAGCAGATTGGAGGTATTTGGGTGTAAACAGACAGCAGAGTCAATTTATTTCCAGTCACCCATAAAGCAGAGCGGGGTCTGTCCATGTCCGCTCTGCAGAAACTGAGAGGACACAGATTTGTCATCCGCTCGCTCTGCTCCGATCAGCAGGGGATCAGTGAACAGAATCCCTGCTGATCTCAACAGAGTTCGCCCTGTGTGAAAGGGCCTAATAGAGGGGAAATCTTTCAATGGTGATACTAGTTCTGGTGGTACACCTGGTTTCCCTCACTTTGGAGGGATTTCCTCTCATTTCTTGTTTTGTCTATGGGACAGGAAGTGAAGGGAAAGTTCATAATGGGACATTGATGGCAAAAAAGTTTGCCTCTATTTACACTTTAATGTACTTTAAAAAAAACGGTCTCTATTTGCACATTGCAAGCTTTTCTGAACAAATAAAACTACCTATAGAGTTCTATGTATAATCTTGCTCCAAAGTAACAACCAGAAAGGTAAGAAATATTTTTAAAATGATTTTTATCTGTGCTGTGTGAATGTGTACATATAAGAAACATATATTGGGGGTTTCTCAAAATGTAATGTAAAAGGTGACTTTGGTTCAGCTGCTTTAAACATTGACTTTGATTACTAGAAAATTCCTCATTAATTATCTTATTTGTTATTTTGTGGTTTCTTCTGATCACTCTTATTCTTTTGGAATGTCAGAATAAATAAATGATTAATAAAACATATATGTGGAATCATAGCATTAAGCATTTGCTGTGAAGGTCATGTGCAATGATATTAAATGATTGATGAACTAAAGGCAAATAGGCTGTCCACTTTGCAAGGAATATTTACCTTAGCACGTGAAAGTGGTGAAAATTCACTTTGCAAAGAATACACAATCACATGCTAGGAAAATTAAATAAAAAAACAAAAAACAGTATTTTTTCTTGAACATGATTGGATGATGGAAGTTAGCAGCACTTCACCTCATTCACTAATCTGAGGAAAATATCCCTGAAAAGTGAACCATCTATTTGTCTGTAGTAAATCAAGCTCAGTGAGTAAGCAGAACAAATTAGGCCATAAAAAACCCCTCCTATGTTTTGTGTTTGCACATAGACATCATAAACAGTCGCATTCTATTAACACATATCACAACATTTCTCAAGCTCTTCTGAAACTCATCCAGAGTTGCTTGTGTAATATGAGGTTTTTTTTTTTTTTTTTTTTACTGAATACTTTGGCAGAATAATGATCAAGTGTTAGGCTGGGTTAACACTGATGTGGTGCGGAATTCGCAGTGTTTTCTGTGCGAATTCCGCACCGCATCAAAATCGCACCCCGTTCATGCGAACTGATGTGGGTGTGTATGTTAACAACACCCCGAAAATTGGTCTGCAAAAAAAGGTGCGATGTGCAGAATTGGATTGCATAGGTGTGAATACCTATGTGATCCAATTCTAGTGCAGACCCAAAAAAGAGTCCATCACCTTTTTGGTGCGGGTGTGGTGCGCTTTGAGTCATACATAATGTATGGCTCCAATAGCATCGCACACAAATCGCATGTGATTTGCACAGGAATACGGTGTGGTTCCTGTGCGATTCACATGCGATGTACCGCACTGCATTAATGTGAACCTAGCTTGAGTGAGAGAAAGGAATATCACAGTCCTCCTTGGAACATAGAAGTTTTGGAAAAGTCAATGAGTTAGGTTAGATCAGGGGTCGGCAACCCGTGAATCGCAATCTACCGTTCAACCGCAGGCAGGTGACCGGTAGATCACAATCTTATCCCTGCCTTACCGACCCCCAACTGGCAGAGCTGTGCAGCAAAGTGTAGATGTGCCATAGGTAATCCTAGACGACAATGCCCGAACCCACCAAACTATCCTTCAGCTGTCATAGGCGGCAGAGGCAGTCGCCGCCCCACAGCTGCACTTAAGCAAAGGGCGTGCTGTAGGACAGACACTGCTTCTGCTGCCTATGACAGCTGTAGGATAGCTCAGTGGGTTCCGGCTAACGTGCTTGAGCTCCTCCCTGGAGTGCACTTTGCTTATCTCAGCTGGCCCTCCTCTTCAATCGATCCAGGCACTTGTGGATGACATCATATGGAATGGATGAGAGAGGAAGGGTGGCTGGAATCAGCACTAGAGCAATGCGCTGCTTTGAAACCACTTATGTGCCTTCCCAACCTTCCCCCAGTGGTGCACCCTCCTGTCCTTCTCACAGTGGTACACCCTCCTGTCCTTCCCCCAGTGGTGTACCCTCCTGACCTTCCCCCAGTGGTGTGCTCTTCTGACCTTCCCCCAGAGGTGTGCCCTCCTGACCCTACCCCCCCCCCCCCCCCCCAGTGGTGTGCCCTCCTGACCCTTCTGTACTGTGTCCTCCTGACCCCCTGTACTGTGCCCTCCTGACCACCCTAGTGATGTGCTCTCTTGGCCCTCCTGTACCGTGTCACCCTAACCTCCTGCACCGTGCCCTCAACCCCCCTGTGCAGTGCCCTGCTGACCTCCTGTCCTGCTCACCCCTGTCCACTGCCCTTCTTTTCCCTGTACACTGTCCTACTTACTACTGACATCTGGACACTGCCCGTGATCCTGCTGACTACTGTACACTGCCGTACATCCTGCTGACTCCTGTACACTGCCGTACGTCCAGCTGACTCCTGTACACTGCCGTTCGTCCTGCTGACTCCTGTACACTGTCATACGTCCTGCTGACCTCTACACTGCCTTATGTCCTGCTGACCTCTGTACACTGCCTTATGTCCTGCTGACTCTGTACACTGTCATACGTCCTGCTGACCTCTACACTGCCTTATGTCTGCTGACCTCTGTACACTGCCTTATGTCCTGCTGACTCCTGTACACTGTCATACGTCCTGCTGACCTCTACACTGCCTTATGTCCTGCTGACCTCTGTACACTGCCTTATGTCCTGCTGACCTCTACACTGCCGTACGTCCTGCTGACTCCTGTACACTGTCCTACTTACTACTGACATCTGGACACTGCCCGTCATCCTGCTGACTCCTGTACACTGCCGTACATCCTGCTGACTCCTGTACACTGCCGTACACCCTGCTGACTCCTGTACACTGCCGTATCCTGCTGATCTCTGTACACTGCCGTACGTCCTGCTGATCTCTGTACACTGCCGTACGTCCTGCTGACTCCTGTACACTGCCGTACGTCCTGCTGACTCCTGTACACTGCCTTATGTCCTGCTGACCTCTGTACACTGCCGAATGTCCTGCTGACCTCTGTATTGCCTTTCGTCCTGCTGAACTCAGTACACAGCCGTACATCTTGCTGACCCCTGTACACTGCCATACACACTACTGACCCCTGTACACTGTTGTACATCCTGCTAACCCCTGTACACTGCCCTACATACTGCTTACACTGGCCAGGACTCAGAGCACGCAGCAAAGCCTGAAACTAGTCAAGCAAATCAGCCTGCAGTGCCAGTGGTTCTGCCTTCATGACGGACTCCTGTATCAGACTTGTGGGGGTTGCTTAAGCTAACTTTTTTAAGGTAGGCTAAGTTCATAATTTTACAGTGATATTAGTTTTATTATGTTTTTCTAAGTGTTCTCTGTGCCCTGCTTGTCCTTACTTTTTATTGGGGGCATGCTAGAAAATTTCCACCAAAGCCTGTGATTGTCACTTTATTGGGTTACCTGCATTTCTCCCAAAAATGTTATATTTTGAAAAAGTGACAAAACTGGATTTACCTTGTGATGCGTATGAGTGTAAGAGATTTTATACATTAACATTGTGCTTATGTTAAAGAAAGGATATAGATACATGAAAATAAACGGTATGTGTATATATGAGTTTATTTGAATATGTTGCGTCTTGTACAACTCTACAATAAGTGTTTCAAAAAAGTTATATCTTGAAGAAACTTTTTAATGTTTCTGAATTAGAGCTTTTTGCTAATATTAAAAATGTGACACATGGTGAACTTTGTACATTAAATTGGTGTGTGTGTGTGTTTGTACGCACATATATAGTAATTATAGTGCACTAGTATAGAGTTGACTGATGCCCATATGTTTAAATTGTTTGTATGCACATACACTAGCATACCTCCTAAATGTCCCTCATTTGGAAGGACAGTCCTTCTTTTGGAACCATATCCCTCCACCCCTCTTTCTTCCTCTGTTTATCCCTGTTTTTGTTCTGATACAAGGCTCTCTATTAAAAATGTATTATTTAATGTTTAAATATGTTTTACTGCACTAGTGTTTATCTAATCTAACGTTTAAATTATTGTTCTTGTTACTTTGAAAAGCCATAGTGATAAAAAAAGATTTGGGTTAAACCAATCATTTTGTGTACAATGATCCACATGGCCCGTGTTGCTAGCGGAGTCCTTTGCCTGTATACTTCTAGCTATAATTTGCCCGTCTTGTAATATAGAGGGTCCAAAGATTACCAGCAAGCCACTTGTAAATGTAAATAGTCTTTACTGGTCTTTCAAAACAGGCAAACACAAATATATTTCTTCAACAAACGGTTCACAGTCCTAGTATAAAGAAAACCATACAACATGGTTCACCATCAGTCTCTCAGCCCCACACTGGTGTTCTGGGTTCCCATTTGTTTCACAGTACAAGACAAGCCACAGGATCTCAGCAAAACTAGAGTCTCAGTCACCAGAGAGTCCACCCTTGTTCTCAGCTGTGAACCACTCCACATTACCTTACAGACACTTTCTGCCTTCCGGCTACTTTTCAAGGCTTCCTTGCATGTGGCCTAACCTTTTTAGGACCAGAGTCCTTGTAATCAGTGTTTGGAGGTTCTTTTCCAACCCAATAGTCTCTCTGAACCTCTGAATTCCAGGTCCCTAATGAGGACTTACCAGTTCAGAGAGTACAGAAAATCAGTTATCTTCTCTGTGACTGGACTACCCCCAGAACCCCTAACCCTGCATGGGTGGGAACCCCTGAGTACTGACAATGCCTCTCAAGCTCTCACCTTAAAGGGACCACAAACCAAAAAGTGTGGAAATATATTTTCCATCCAAAACACATTTCAGATGTCCTGTACAATAAATAATTTGTATGTGTGTGTTTTGCATGTGATGAATGAGAAAAGGTTGAAGGGATTTTCTATTTACTGAGTACACAGAGCAATGTAAGATGATAATCATATCAGTGTAAGCACAGAAGAAACCTGAATTTCCTGATTTTCTTGAGCAACTTCAACTCAGTTTTCTACTTTCTTTGCAGCATGTGTTCAGTTAAATAGGGACAACCATGACTGAGTCTTTGCAAGAATCCAAGTATTCAGTCATAATTTATAACAGTCCAGTCTACCCTAGGAGAGTGTTATATTTAACCCTTTTTGGCTTTAATTTGTTCGTTTAAGAACTGTTGGATAGAGGGTCAGAGTTGATCAGCCCCCTGAAATGTGACATTTTCGGCCTTTTCAACTGCCTGATCTCATGCTAAGGCAAGTTATACATGGCTTAAATTTTGGTTAATTCCTTAAACTGGAAAACATTTAAGCCGTGAGTGGCCCTGTAGACAGCACCCGGTTCCACAAACTTTGATTGGAGAATTAAAAGCCAGTCAGCTGTAATCAATGTTTGGTATTCTGATAGCCCCTGGTGCCAGTTTTCATAATATAATGGCAAGCAATGGGAGATTTCTCCATTCACACTGTTTAGTGTGGATGGGGGACGTTTGGAAATCTTTACATGTATGGCCAACTTTACACACACTGTCCTCCATCTCTGAAGTGATAACCGTATAAAACATATCTCTGCAATCCCTTTCAGTGAAGGACTCTGTTGCCTGATACTGTTACACACATTAAGGGCAAAAATATATATTTCATAGGTAAGCCTGCAAATTTATAACTAAAAAGTTCTCATTCAAATTCTTTAAAAAGACAACTTGTGATTGGTTCTTTTTCTTTCTACCATGTTGCACCTGAAAAAGTATGGGGTAGTATGAGTACTCCTGAAAGAACCATAGCAGATGAACATTAGTCAACCTGCAAGATTGAAAGGATTTATTTTTCTCAGTTCCTGTTGTGTTGTGTTTTTCTGAGTGCTGCCCAGAGGCAGAAAGAGTCAAATTTCCAGATTATGTCTCTCGGGTATAAGGACAACATAGTGTCTATTTACATATCAAGACTACAGAGACATTTTGATGATCACACTGCTTGATAAGCAATGACAAACATGTAAAATCTATAGCCATTCAATACAATAATGTCACCAATACAACATGACTTCACTGAGTAGTTGGTGGAGACCAATTCTGTCCATTAAATCAAGTAAAATTGTTTTTCTTTAGCAGATCATTAGGGCTATTTGAACTTAGTACTGTTTCAGTTCTTAATTATTGTTTTATATGTTACATGTCACTTTTTGTTCATTAATCTTATGATTTTTCACATTTTCACTAAACCTGGCCACAGCTGTAGATTGCTCTGAAACAGATCCTCAGACAAAGCTTCCTTTGTCTAACATACACATTCATTGGCTGTCAGACATAGTAGGTTATCTCCATTCATCCCCGCTTTATCAGTCAATATTAATAAAGAATTAGAAGGAATAGTCAGTGTTGCAGATCTCTTATGGCACTGATGCCAGTCTCTTCAAATCTACTGATAAGGTTTTTACAGTTTTTTTAAAGGGAATTGGATAGCTTTTAATGCATATTTAGGAAATGACCCTCAGAGGAATGATTTTTTTCTGGTCCTACAGACAGGCCAGATATTATTGGAACCTGCGGAAAGTGCAGGTTACAGGCAATGGCCACTGTATCTGTACTAACATTGGACAGGATAATTGTCTCATCTGTCATTAGAATAGAGTGCTCATTCCTATTGATTTTTATCTTAGTGTATGTTTTAATGTCAGGGTTATGGCTCCTGAAGGTCTTTTATTCTATGGCTTCGACACTGCAATTTACGAGAGATTAATACTACAAATGACCTTTGCATGGGCATAAAGAATATTGATTATAATATTAATATTGATTATAATATTAGTTCTCTGCACTCTGCTTTTTTACTTTTTCCTCTTCTTTTTTTAAGAGTTGTAAAGTGACTAAATGTTATAAAAGGGTGTTATAACACCCCTTTTGTTTAAGAGTCCTCTTTATCTGTGTCCCACATTTCTATGCCCATGTTCAGATCATAGCTAATAGATATAACACAGTAGCAAAGAACTGGCAGACAATAGATAACCTATATCAGGCCCCATTTACACCAGAGCATTTTGTAGCTCAAAACTCCAAACTGCTCATGGAGAAAAAAAAAATCAATCTCTATATAGTTGTGGTTCACTTCTTCACTGCAAAACGCCTGAAGCTACTTTTGTAACTCTATTTGAAGAGACTAGTGAATTTTTGAAGCAGCTGAATGCAGAAAGACATAGCAAAAAATGATCTAATAGATGATAATTTTCACTATTGGCTAATACAAAAATGCCAAAGCTCCAAAACGCTGTAAAAAAACACTAAAAAACGCACATTAAAAATGCGACAAAAAGCCCACAAAAATACACAAAACCTCAACGCTCAGGTATGAATGCAGCCTTAATGTTATTGAGCTATCAAATGAAAGTGGAAGTGAATGAAAGTTATTGTTTCCTACAAAATACCAACGTTAATAATGTCTTTGTTTACTCAGGGAAGGCTCTTTAATGAATGCCTGAACGTCTCGCGCTGCTTAAAGAAGGACTCGGAAGAGCTGCTGATATTCCCAACATACGTGTAGAGCATAGTTACCACTGGATATTTTACAAACAACTATTACAAGCTGAGGTCCGTGCACAGAAGGCAAGAAAGGGCATCTGGGAACAGGAGAACCAATTTAATGGTTTAAAAAATAAAATATCCACTTTTAGTATTTTCCAGAGGACAAAACAACTTATCAATTCACTGATCTCCCACTGGAAACAGTTCAAGAAATGAAAATAGATTTAAAGCTAAGCTCCAGGAAAACTAAAAGACCTCCCCTGCAGTGGAGCTCTGTCTGCACAGAAAGGCTTAAAGGCTAAGTTCACCTTAGTGAACATGTTACATATTACGCCTGTATTTAGGGTGTAACATGCAACATGTTCAGCAAGCATCCCCTCTCCCCCCGATTGCGGCTGATGGCTTGTAGTTCTCAATGAACTGCGATGGTGCTGGTGAGCGCTCTCGTAGTTCATTGATATTTCTGCTCTAAAGTAACTGCCTGCTTGTACAGGTGGTATGATCAGACAGCTATCTTGGGAGTCTGCAGGAGCCTGACATTGCACCTGTTATCTGCTGATTGTGGATGCAATGCTCTGCAGGTTACTTCGGGGAAAAAAATAAATGCGCATTTATAATAATTTTCAAAAGGTGAACATATTTTTTAACAGCTCATTTAGTCAATTCGAAAAGACCAGGTTTTCTCTGCTCCCCGGCAAACAGTGTTTTCCCTCTGCTCTAGCAGTGGGACTGTCTTTCCCATATCCAATGGAGGGCTGTGATCTTGATGATGTCAGAGGACCTTAGACTGCCAAAATGAAGAGGAAAAGAGGCTGTAGAGATCAGTCTAGTAGCCCAAAGAGCCAGTGGGAGTGGCTGCAAGTAAAATTGTTGTACCTGGTCCTCTAGGCATAAAGGAGCAGTTAACCCTCAGTGCAGTGCAGTGCAGGCCTCACTAAAAGGAAAGACGTTTAGTTTTCCTGAAGTTCAGCATTAAGTGTACATGTATAGCAAATGTACATGTTTTGGTTTAACTGATGTAGCTTAGACCCTGTGATCATGAATGATCACCATAAAGGCAACTTTCTCACTCTCAGTAACACATCCTCTTGTCAGGATGAAGGAGGTCAGGTTCAGGTTTCAGGGCTGCTGGTAACAAAACTTCATGTTGATTTGTATGTGTATATAGGGGCCATTAATGGCACATAATAAGCAATGCTGCTATTTTCAAGCATAACTCTTAGGGGAGATAATAAGCACCTTTGGTAGCCATAGGCTGAATATTCTTTCCTTTTCCAATGCCCATTTACTGCCAGAGCCCTAAAAGTCGTGTACGGTACAATGAGAAAAAAAAAAAATAGGTTTATTTTAAATCTGTGTCTTGCCTTTGGCTGTCTGGGGTAAAGGGAAATCTCTGAAGCCACCAGGTATAGGGAGCATGTGACTCTTTTTCCTCATTATAGTGCTAATCCTTGGTTGTTGCTTGCTCAAGCACCCAATGCTGTCACATGGGGCAGAGAAGGAGTCCTCAGCCACGTGTGAACTCCAATTTGTGACTTGGAGCCTACACAGGGCTTCCTTCCATCTCCCAGCAGATAGAGCAAAAGGGAAGGTAGGTTAAGCTGGCCATACTCTGTTTGAATTTCAGCTGGTTCCACTCAGCATTCCTCGATTCAAAAATTGAAGAAGCCAGGCAGAAAATTGTCAGAAGAAAGCGATTGCAGTCAATCAGATGCAGCCACTGATCAGCTATTTTGACAGCTGAGCGGTCAGCTGTCAACATAGAATAGCCACCGCGGAAGATTTATCCAAGCATGGATGGAAGAATTTGATTTATTCTATTCAGTTAGCAGGCTAAATGGAAAAAATCTTTGTGTATGACCAGATTAAGTGCAGCTGGAGGGGGTGGCAGTTAAGTGTATCTGCACTTGATAGCTGCTCTTTCAGAATAAAAGTGTATTTACTGCCATTATTTTTTATCAGAAGTGAAGGGGGATTTTCCATTCTCTAAGGGTAGGTTCACAACACATGCGGAGGGACTGCAAAATGCCTTGTCTCTTATGTGTCTGGGTTCACACCACTGCTTTGCAGTGGTGTGCAGGCATGGTGCACTGAAAAAAGTACTGCATGCAGTATTTTTCAACACTGTGCGTGGCAATCCACTGTCTCACGCCTCGCGGATGGCAATTGAGCTATATAAGATGTCCATGTCACATCTCGATAAAGTTTGTTTAAAGAAAACAGCAGAACGTACCTAGCTCAGCACATCATCACTTCACTGATTTCAGCCCCACCACACTGCACACCAACTACTGCGTTGCAATGCAATGGTTGGTGTGAACAAGCCCTTAGTCATTTAGATGTATATTGTGTGTGGAACCTGATATTCTGCAATTCAGATCTGTTATGAAAACAAGCTATTATGAGCAATGGTTTTTGACCTTTTTTAAAATTAGGGTTCTGCAAATTCTTTCCAAACCTTTGATAAAAGTAGTGAAATGCAAAACATGTATTAAAATGCTGGATGGCTCAGTATGGCACTGTCAAGGTCCTACCTTTTCCCTGTGGTTATGTTACTTCATGTGCTGGTGTCCATCTTGGATTCTGCTGTGCATGATGGGAGCCCTTTTATGCCTTCAGGTTTCTGTGGTCCATCCTCCAGGGGGGTGTGGCTGATGACATATAAGCCTGTGGCCCGCACATGCTCTTTGCACTTGTGTCTTGTGTCTTTGTGTTGCTGTTACTCTGTTCTGACTCTCGTGACTCTCCTGGTATCTGATTCGGCTTGTCTTGACTATTCTTTGTATTCTCCTTTGATCTGACCCTCTGTTGCTGAACCCGGCTCGTGACCTGTGATTCTCGTCTTCTGTCCTGTACTGTTCTGTCCTGTTGTTGTTGACCCCGGCTTGTCTGACTACTCTTTTGTCTCTTCCACCAGCTACACGCCATTGGCGGCGGCCATTACCGCAGCTGAGGTGTCTCGGGGGCCGCGACCTGGTTCCTGGCTGCGTCAAGTCCATCCCCACCATCAGGGGCCCTGGTGAAGGGCAGCCTGGGACTTAGACTCCGCGCCCTGAGGGACTTCGGTCTGTGGGTGGTGGTTGTCGTCAGCCAGTGCGTTACATTGTTAGGCCTGCCTGTCCGTTCCTCAGCTCCTGCCCTGACAGGCACTCACTGTGTCACTGTGTATTGTATGAAAGTTCTGGAGGGGATTGGGGGACTCTGCAGACTTGGTTGCCCTGTAGGGAGTAAGGTTTCTGGAGGAGCCTGGGAAGCATTTGGGGGGGCACTATGGAGGGATGGAAGCTCTGAAGGAGGCTGGCGGAGAACTGTGGGAGCTTGAGGGGCATTGTGGAGGCTGAGGGCATTGTGGGCTAGTATGGGTGGTTGAGGAGCACTATGGGAGCTGGGAAGCACTGTGGGAGGTTAAGAGATCTTCAGCTGGCTGGAGGCTTGGGAGAGGAGAGGCCACAGCCAGGCAGCGAGCCACAGCATAGTGCTGATAACCACTGATTTAGAATGTCCTAGAAAATGAAGTCTCTCAAACCCCAACATCTGACTTCGCACCCACCACTTGCTGGCTACGAGTGGTAAATATGAAATGTTTATAACCAATTTTGCATACTTACTAGACTAAACATTAAAAAAGGAAACATATTTTTAACTCCCGAAGATAAAGAAACTATATGCAAAAACACTATACATTCCCTTTGACGACTAGTCTGACTCTTGAGCCAAACTTTTTCAGGAATGGACAGAATAGTCCACTAGCAGAGTTGGGAACTCATTGAGGGAAGGCTCTGATTTCTTGAAGCAGTGAGTATCTCTCTCCAGTATCTAATAAACGTGCCTGAAGAAGCTCTTTGATAAAGTTTCATCATTCTATATTATTCTATATTCTAATATAACAGTGTTCCTAGTCAATTTCTGTACATTGTTCTGTTTGCTGCCTTGTGGGTTAGTGTAAGTGATGTATGTTTATTATATGTGATATAAATAAAACATGTTCTGATTCACTAGTAATATTTAATTTAGAGACGTGTGGTAAACATGAACTCATGTCCATCATCCCACAGATAATAGCATGTCTAATGTGTTTATTTTATGTTTCATCGAACATTTAGATCACTTGGGAAATCCTTTAAAATGTTCCTGGAAAGCCAGAAGAGACAGCCAGATGCTGCAGTATTGTTTTTGCAGTTCATTGTTCTCCTCCAGCTTACTAGGTGCTCATTCAGTGCAGAATCATCTTTTGTTTAGCAGAAACAAAGAGGTGTGAATTTGTACATCCTATCAATCAGAACATTTTTATTTATTTCATTATTTCAGAGTAAACAAAAGATAAGGCTACTGTTTATTTGGAAAACACAAGTGTATGTAAATGCAGATATCCCTGTATCCTCAAAACATACTAATTGCTTTACAGATAGGATATGTGCTGCTATATCAGTAGTATATTGTTTGGCTGATGTTTACCTTTTATTAATTTCATTTATTCTTATTAGCTAATTTTAATTTTAATAAATTAAAAAATGATAATGTTGTTATTTTGTGTAATTTTATGGATTTAAAAAAAGCAGAGAAAGGAAATCCACATGCATTGTAGTATAGTAGTTATTGAAGTGGAACTTTAGTCAGAAAAGTCCTGCTGTATTACTTCAGGCTGGCCCCTTTTGCAGGTAGAGCTATGTAAAACATTAAAAATAAATGCCTATACTGTTTAAAATCCAGTGATACATTGTCTCACCTTGCTCTGCACATACTCAGTTGCTCTCTATTTTGAGGCACTGTGCCTAAAATCAGGGCCACTAGAGGGCGATTTGCTAACAACCTAAATATTTACTGCTGCTCATGGGGCTCTGGGCTTAGCAAAATGGCAGCCTCTGGTAATTAGAAACAGGAGAAATGCTGGAGGCAATTTACAGCACACACTCATTTTGGTGGCATAATTATTATTGTGGAATGTATGTTCCTTGCTAAAGAACATTTTTTTTTATCAAGTTGGTGTGTGTAAGTTCTGCTTTAACGTGTTGACCACTAAAACAAAACAAAAAAATGCATTTGACCTTCATTGGTGATGCTTAAAATTTGCCAACGTACTGTGTTGACCACTAAAACAAAAACAGATGAATTTGACCATGATTAGTGATTCTTAGAGTGTTCTAATCAAAGAGTTCTTGACTGCTCTTAAAGGGTAACTCCACTTTCGCTTCCATTGAAGACTTGGCTGACAGGAG